TATACAGTGAGTTTATCTTAGACTGGAACATACGATTATGCATACAATGCTATTTCCCTATGTTCCATTTTAAAAAAAAACGCATCAACCTGAAGGAGTAGTTCAAATGGGTAGTAGGCGCAATGTACTACTGTCACCTTTAAATCTACCGCCCTGCAATAAATTCAAAAATGCTGCCTAAAGAAATGAAAATTGCAATTATAAATTTATACAAAGGCCTAAACAGTACAAGACAAGTCCGCGATTTACTTGCAGTCCAGTATCCTGACGAACAAATACCATCCATTTCAACGATCCACAGAGTTATAGGCTTATAGCAAAATTTGATAGGGATGGCTGTGTTGCAAATCTTCACACAAAAAAGGCAAAAATTAACCATGTCCTTAATGAAGAATTGGAATTAGAAATTTTGTGCTATGCTGAAGAAAACCCAACAGCATCACTAAGTTTAATGGCCAAGGAATTTGAAATTTCTAGAACTTCCGTGTTTAAAACGCTAAAGAAATTTAAATACAAGTCGTACAAATTTCAAAATCACCAACAACTGTTTGATGATGATAAAATAAAACGCACAGACTTTTGCGAAACAATATTTAATTTGTTAAACAATAATGAGGAAATATTGCACAAAATAATGTTTACAGATGAAGCATCTTTTTCTCTGAACGGTACAGTAAATTCTCAAAACTATCGGTAGGTACCTATCTCCATATTAAATCTTACTGATACCGTTTTCTTCATTAGATATTGGTCACAAACTAATAATCATGTACACAACATAACGCATACGCAATATAATATTAAAATTAACGTTTGGGCCGGGATAATAAACAATATTCTAATCGGACCGTTCTTCATCGATGGAACTCTAAATTCAACAAAGTTTCTCGAATTACTTAGATCGCGCATTATTCCACGGTTACAGGAGTTGAATATAAACAACCCATGGTTTCAAATGGACGGGGCTCCACCACATTCTACGAGACCAGTGACAAGTTTCCTCAATGAAACATTCCCGGGCCGTTGGATCGGTAGATTTGGTCCAATATCTTGGCCAGCACGATCTCCCGATCTGTCGCCAAATGACTTTTTCCTTTGGGGATATCTAAAATCGAAAATTTATAATCATGTTCCCATTCAGAATGTGCAAGAGTTACAAACCCGAATACTAACAGCATGTGATCAAATGAATCCTACGTTTTTACGAAATAGTATTCAGGAATTTCGCAATCGGTTAGGGTACTGCTTGGAATGTGAAGGAGGGCACTTTGAACATTTGTTATAACTTATAATTAAATTCATTTTATTTATTATTAAACAATTTTTCTTCGACTTTCGACCGTACACGTACATAACCTAAAAATAAAGGCTGGTTCAAATGTGACTCGCAAATTTCTAATACGTTTGTTTTAGTTGTGAACCGCGCATATCCTTCAGGTTGATGCGTTTTTTTTAAAATGGAACATAGGGAAATAACATTGCATGCAAAATCGTATGTTCCAATCTAAGATAAACGCACTGTATATATTATATTTTTTCATTGTGATTTAAATTTTGTGTGTCGTTAAATAATGGATGAGGAATTATTAGTTATTGAAGGTCTATATATTTAGTTTATTTCACACATGTACTTAAATACTTACAATTCCAGAACATGTGGATGTTGTAGGGCTGCTAATCGAAGTCATACAACAGTACGAGTATTTATATGACTTAAGTCATAAAGACTATAAAAATACAAAAAAAAAGGAGTTAGCATGGAAGGAAATCTCAGATATAACCAATGTAAGTGGTTCGTGTACAACTACTGAGCGAGTTTTGTTATTTAGTATTTTTCTTTTAGTGGAAGATTGCATGAAGCAATGGAAAGCTTTGCGAGATCGCTTCACAAGGGAGAAGAGAATGAAGCCTTCTGGATCTGAAGGAGCCGAATCATCTTGGATTCATTTAGAAAAAATGGCATTTTATAATAATTGCACAAGGCCAAGAAAGTAAGTTCTGTTACTTTATAAAACACAAAATTTAAGCAGTACTTATATTTTTAGAACTCACACTTCCACTATATCAGTTGTGAAAGATTCGCCATCCTCATCCCGGACATCCTCCCGATCCTCGGTATGGTCTGGGATAGAGACAATTCTCTCTCCACAATCGGAAGAAGAGGCAATAGAAGAAACTGCTGACCAAACAATTGTTAATGAAACGGCATCAACACCGATTGCTTCAAAAACAAAGAAAGGTAAATAATACATGTAGTGTTATTTTATAATTTACGCAAATTTCAGTACAAAGCAGTACATCAAAACGAGGTGAAAATGAACTTGCCGAAGTTATAGAAACTGCAAAAAAAATCGCCTCGTCACTTGATACGCGTGCGATTCCACCGAATCAAAATCGCACTTTTGTGGAGTATGTTTACTCTCGGTTGAGTGAAATGCCAAGTGAACAGGCGAAAGAAAAACGTCGATCTATGCTACGCATACTGGAGGATTTGGAGTGATAAAGCAGCACTTAAATTACTGTAAATAAATAGTACATATTAAACAAATTATATACATATTTTGGGAAGTTTTCTAAATCTTTATGGGTAGCTTTCAAATTTACACCCCCACATAACCTGTTATGCTGTGAGGGCATGACTCATACCCTGGGCTAATTTATATATTTCACAGAGAAGGGCTAGATTCATTATTAGCTGACTTGTTTCCTTGGAATTGTGTTATTATTTTTCGTTGATAGTTCTATAAATTTTTGTATTATGGATGAAGAAAAGGTGTTGCTTGGCTCATTAGGAATTGTTTTGTGCGTTTATGCAGCACTCAGACTGCGTAATTATAGAAGATCTAGACGATATAAAGTTAGACCTATTAATAGGTTTCGAAAAACGGCTGGTAATTACAATTATTATAAGAAAATGAAAACAGGGGATCCGGAACAATTTTTCAAATACACAAGAATGACAGTTCCTGTGTTTGAAAAATTACTTAAAAAAGTTGAACCATTAATCCGAAGACAATATAGGTCTGATGGTATATCGCCAGAAGAAAGACTTGTAATAACATTACAGTAAGTGGCATGTTCTTCAAATATTTCTTTAAGTTGTCAGTTTTGTTTTTCTTAGATTCTTATCACAAGGCAGTAGCATGCAGGTCTTGGCATGGACTTTCCACGTGGGACATACCACTGTGCATAAAATTATTTATGAGACTTGCGTAGCTTTATGGAACGTTTTAAGTCCCGAGTATCTCAAAACACCGGAAACTCAAGAAGAGTGGTTGGAAATTAGCAATGGTTTCAATCATAAATGGCATTTTCCACATTGCTTAGGAAGTATAGACGGGAAACACGTTAATATCCAAGCTCCTCCTAAAACCGGATCTCTCTTCTTCAATTATAAAAAAACATTTAGCATTGTTTTGTTAGCCGCGTGCGACTACAAATATAAATTCACAGCAGTCGACATTGGAGCATACGGATCACAAAGTGATGGAGGGGTGTTCAAGAAAAGTATTTTTGGACAACAAATGGAAGATTCCCTAATGAATTTACCAGTACCAACGCCCTTGCCGGAAAGAAATGATCCGATGCCATACTTCTTTGTGGCTGATGAGGCGTTTCCTCTCAAACAATATATAATGAGACCATTTCCAGGGAAATTTTTACCAATTAAACAAAGGGTATTTAATTACCGACTTTCCAGGGCTAGACAGGTAATAGAAAATACCTTCGGAATATTAGTCGCTCGATGGCGGATCCTGAAAACTACGATAAATGCTAAGGCGGAAAATGTAGATGAGATTGTGAAAGCAGTTGTTGTTCTTCACAACTATTGCCAAACAGAATTTTCAGGATCTGATAACATTTACTGCCCATCAAATTATGTTGATACAGATGGTGCAAATGGTGCATGGAGAACCGAGCAGGAGCCACTAGGATCTGTTGGACGATTAGGTGCTAACATTACTACACGTTACGTGTATTCTGTAAGAGATGCCCTTGCAGAATACTTCATGTCCGATAAAGGTAGAGTTTCTTGGCAGGATAGCATTGTTAATTTATAACAAAACATTCCTATTTATTTCTTGGAACATATCCAGAACACTTAGTTATAGTCCAGTTTATTTTAATTATAGAATGTTAGTTTATTTACATGTTTATAACCACAAATACAGATTAGATTATTATAGGTTATGTAGTTGTGTAGTTCATTTCAAATAGTTGGTAGTTACAATGTCAAGCATAAAATGAACGTCAAGGAGTTTATAAATCGTAAGGTAACAGCAAACGCAAACTCCAACTGCAACTGAACGGCAACGTCAACTGCAAACTGCGAACGTAAAGTTTATAAATCCACCTTTAAAGGGCTAACGCGTTCCGTCGCAGCAACTATTTCCTCGTCCGAAAACTGACGATTTTGTTGTACTAATGAACAAATAACTATTTTCTGAAATATATAGTTATCTTAGAGCAATTAATAAACAAAGCATTTTCCCTGTCATATGTAATAAAATTATAATTGCATCCTTTGCGTGTGTTTGATGCGTATCAAAATGGGTGATAGCGACAGTTCGAGATACCAAAGTGAAATTTTGGAAGCTGCAAGCGATTGCGACCCTGTCCATCATACGGCTTGATATAGGAGCGTTTGAGAGTAAAAGTACAATAGCAACTTCTCCGCTGCACAGATTTTAATAATGTCAAATGCAAATAGGTTCGTAACTGTGGCTTCCAAGACTTATATGTTACAATGCTGTACAATTATTAGAAACTGAATTACCGTAATTTGGATGGTAGGTATAGTGCTATTGTGTTTCGGGTTTAATGCTGGTGTTCTGGTAGGTAAATAATGTAGGCAATAAATCTTCCTCATGTTTGGTTCTACACTTAAAAGGTCTGCAAGCAGCAAAGGATTGGAACGTCAAACCTATAGGTAATTTTAAATGTGAACATTGTGATTAATTGCAAAATGGTGTGAAACATTCTAGAATAGTCCGAAAATGAAAAAACGCAACGTGATGGCCCAAATCCTGATTGGGACGAAGACAGAATAGACGTTTGTATCAAACAAATTACTGTTTTCACACATAGTTTCAAATAAGTACAGTTTGACAGATGTGGTACATAAAGTAAAGTTATGACAGAAGCGACAGAAGTGAAACTTTATGGACGCAAAGCGACCATAAATCACGCTTTGTGATGATACCTAAAAAAGAAGTATAAATAAAAAAATATCGTTCATTACAAACGTCCGAAATGCTTCTTTCCGTGCTTGCATGAATTTTAATCGCTAATTTTTGCATTATAGGATTAATGCCCTAAACCAAAGAATCAATTACCTTAAATTAGTTCATGAGCTGTTAAGTTTCCGCAGGACATTTAAAAGCAAAATTATGAACTGTGTATCTGTAAAGGATGTTGCGAAACTTTAAATTTGTGAACACCATACAGCCACGGCAAGTTTAAAAAATTTATACACAGCGTTTTTGTTATTTTTAACCATTCCTGTAACTACGGCTTCTGCCGAAAGGTCATTTTCAAAGTTAACACTAATTAAAAATTGTTTGAGAAGTTCAATGTCACAAATAAGGCTAAGTAACCTGGCACTTTTAAGTATTGAAAACGACAAAGCTCGAGCATTAAATTTAGATCATCTAATAGATGTATTTGCCGAAGCCAAGGCCAGAAAAAAAGATTTTTAGTGTTTTAGGATCTCATTATTTGCGTTATTGTTATTGTGTTAATGTGTATTTAGTGTACCTATACATTACTGTAACAATACTAAAATAAATTGCTAAAATCTTTATTTTTTATTTTTGGAGAAAGGCGCATTAATTGTTTTGCTACCCGGCGCATCGTACTCTAGCGACGCCACTGATCTAGTGGCTGGTTGCATCGATTCAAAAAACGTCACGGAATTCGTGAGCTTACCATTTAGGGCGAAAATCTCAGTGCTGATGGAGAAGCGATGGTCGAATTTTGTTATGAGCTGGAGTTGGAGACCATAATTACAGAAAATAATCTGCAACCTTCTCAAATTTATAACGCTGACGAAACCGGATTATATTGGCGAGCAATTCCTACTAAAACTTTAGCTGCAAGTAGTATAGTGGAACGCACCAAATTTAAAGAATTCTTTTCAACATTACACCAATTGTACGTAACTTAACCTAGAGAGGTCGTTGCGCAAAACTAAACGTTCAAACTCGAAATCTCGAAGATAACCCCTTACTTTCGTTCACTTATCGATTATGGGGCCATTGTATTCCTAAGTGTTGATTTCGCTGCACGAACCATTTTATAACTACTGTAGTTTCGCCTAATTATTTTTAGGTACAAATTTTAATGTAAGGTCGTTAAGGTAAGCGTCGTCACTTGTCAATGTCCTTATGTAATTAGTGTGTTTATTCGTTAAGCGTTTCTCAACATAAACTACAACCAGCATACGTGGGTTTTATTTTCCCCCCATTGCCGACGAACCGAAACCAGCCCTGCACCAATAAGGGTGTTCCGCTACAGTAGTGAGATGAGTGCACCGGGATATAAAAAAAAGTAAAGACCGGATAACAGTGTTGTGTTGTGCATCTGGCGAGCATAGACTGAAGTTGACTGTGATTGGAAAGTCCAAACATCCCCGTGCTTTTAAAAATATGAAACCACACAATCTCCCAGTTCACTATTATAACCAGCAAGCTGCTTGGATAACTTCTGAGATTTTCCAAGATTGGTTTCATAAAAAGTTCATTCCTGAAGTACGGTCTTATTTGAGAAAGGAAAAGTTGCCACAAAAGGCTCTTCTTCTTCTGGATAATGCTCGTTCTCATCCCAATGAGGCAGTCTTAAGGTCTGACGATGGAAATTTCTTTGTTCTTTTTTTTCCGCCCAATGTTACATCAATTGCTCAACCAATGGACCAGGGTGCTATTGAAACAATGAAACGTCTCTACCGAAAAGAATTTATATGATGAACTTGTTGGATGAAGTTGATCTGATGAAGTTTTGGAAATCATTCACGATCAAAGACGCAATTTTTACAGTAGCAAATGCGTGGTGTGGAGTGAAAAAAACGACTTTCAAAAGAGCTCTTTATAAAATAATGACCCTAGAGGAAGATGAAAGCATCGTGGATCCTGATGTTGAAGAAACAACCATAACCGAACTAACTGAATTAGTGCGCAATACCGATGAATTCAAAGAAATTGGTGACACTGAGATTCAGAAGTGGACTGAATGTGACAAAAATGACCCAGGCCATCAACTTTTCAGCAACGACGATATCGTCGAAGAAGTTTTGAATCAGAACCAGAATCCACAATATGAGTCATCCGAAAATGAGTCAAGACGAAGAAAATGATGGGATGGTATCAGTAAAACTGGTAACTAATCGAGAGGCTGAAGAAGATGCCAACGTTCTACTAGACTATTTTGAGCAAGGAGAATCTTCGGACCTTGTAGACATTTTAAACTTGCGCCGAATACGTCAGAAAATAAAAATGGATCGAAGAATTTTAACACAGACTAAAGTGACTGACTTTTTTACAAAAGCATAGCCACATATGTAT